AAAAAATTCCGGACCTTTCTGCGGAATTTCCGCACTTTTTCAGTACTTCCGGACCGCCCCTAAAGAATCAGTGCTATTTCCGAACTTTCCGGAAATTCCGGACTTGTAGACACCCTGTCCGACCTCCCCTATCGACTCGATCCACCGTGCGGCAGCTCACATGACAAATAGAGAAACTCACTCGCAGCCCGGATCGAAGAGGGTGGAATAGCCGCGCGGATTATGCGTCCGGCGGGGGAGGGGGGTCGGTGACAGAGATATATTCGCGGGGGAAATAAACTTAAGCCGGGAGACAAAAGAGTGAGGAGATAATGACAACCGATGAGGATGATATCTCGCACCTCCCCGGGTCCGGGCCCCGTTTCAATAGCCGAATGGAAAGGCATTTGTCGCGGACGACTTGTAGAACACCCGGTACGACAACGTCGTAATGACGGCTGTCGGAGACAGGACCGGGGACCCACCTTGCAACCCCCGACCGCCCCCGGCGGCGGTGAGACCCTCGGTGCCCGCTAACCCCTTTACGCAGATTAATCCATCAATCTAGTGTTGGCAGTCGGAGACGCTTATCTCCCTTATCTTGCCTTCGGGAGGAAAATATTCAAATCTATATCTCCGCAAATTGCCAAGTCTATGAAAAAGTCGCGAAGTCGAGGATCTCCGGTTTGATTCTTGAGTGGCTCCTTGAAACTTTTCGGCTTGAAAGCTTCCAATGCACCCTCTGGATACTGGGATTTCAGGTTACCTACTGGGGAACCCCCTCAGTCAAACATTCTAAAATTGAATTGGCCATTCTCAAGAAGACTTAATTTCCAGAAATTAAAGTGGAACAAACACCAAAAAAACTGAATTAATAGATCATATTTGATACATCGAACATTTGAGATTGTATCGATATCGATTGTTTCAACGTTTAAACATAGCCTGAAAAGTCAATTAATAAATCTGAGGGAACGGGTCTTTTGTGATTGACTTTCAATGCTGTTGAATACCAAACGGCAATGAAAAGTGAAAATGTTGAGAATTTTCAGCATTTCCAACTTATATCTTAAAATTATTGTTTGAGGTTATATTCTATATTGTTTTGAACCAAACAATACATCAAAGTACTATCGAATACAATCAATTGACCCATTTTAAATCTTAGATCAAGTAATAATGTGATGACTCAAGTAAATGCTTTAACAGTTTGGAGCTAGGAGATCCGAAACAGGTCGATTTAAACGTTTTTTGTGTTTTTTTTCGTACTTTAATTTTGGCACTGAAGTCTTTTTGAGAAAGACTGAATCAATTTTGGCCTACGGTTGAGGATGAGAATCCAAAAAATTGGTTTCTATGCGAAAAATACCGAGTGGAAAAGCAGAGCGCGCGATGGACCGTCTTTGTGTTGGTGCGTGTGTTCGTGTTATTTGCAACGAATAATTTTGAACGAAAAGAAAAACTGACGATTAAAATTATTCAAGGGTTCATTTTACACCGCCACCAAAATTTGCACGGCCTCAGATAACGCGTGATGAAAATTTCAACCTCTGCTCTTTGAACTCCTCACATGTGTAACATCACTGACACAGTCTACAAGGCGCTGTGAGGTAACTTAATTAACTCCTAGGCAATGCAAATTACAGAACCAGCACATTGAAGGCGATTCAATATTTTCAAGTGTTTCGGCTATCGAATGTCTTCCTTGGAGTACTGCAGTGATGTGCAATGCCTGAACTAAGTAACATATCGTTGACTAGATTCTGGAACAAGTCTCTAAAATGCGACGTTGCAGATTTTCTATCGTATTTTGTTAAAAAAAAACCCCCTGTTACTTTTTCTTGAATTTATTTGTTTTATATTTTTTATTTTTCATTACCCCCGTGCGATTACTCCAAAGTAATCCCAATCCATAAAATTTTTTTGACGTTTTTTAGAAAACTCAAATACGAATAGAGATTTTAAATCGCCGCATTGTTAAAAAAAAACCGTAAAATTTTTCCAGAATTTCGATGCGTCTTTTCTTTCAAAAAATTCAATCCAGTTTTTTTCAGCGCATCACGGACACAATTATGTCTTACAGCTTTATTTGTCAACCGAATTGAGACTCGGTATCTCAGGACGGCCTCGAGGTTCATATTAGAATGTGACGAATTTCGACAACATTCTGGCAACAGTGCGGACGGTGTCGTTTACGGAGCCGGCCCGGAAATTTATGCAGTCTCTTTGCGTCCCTCCCACGACTCGCTTGCGTGCACCGCGGCGCGGCACGGCGAAGCGAAGGAGGAGAAAAATGATGAAAAGGAATATATCAAAAGATCGTTTTTTTATCTGTCCACCGGGCGGTGTTTTTATCGTCACCTGCCTTTCCTTTGTTCTATGCAAATGCCTCATTTATCTCCGGCTCCTCGCTTCACCACCTACGACTCGTCTTCCAAATCCCGCCGAGATAGCTCCCCTCGAACTCCCGCTCCGAGACCGGTACCTCTAAACGACTCAAAATAGGCTCTTTCGTGTCCGAATTTTTTTTTTGAAATTGATTAATTTGTGTTACCTGTGTCGTTGAGGATTTGTTTGACCATTCTTTGGATTCTTTTGCATTAAAAAGAAGATCTTCGGTTAGATCTGTCTATCTACATTGATAGACGACTCAAAATAGGCTCTTTCAAGCCCTAATTTTTTTGAAATGGATTACTTTTCTGTTACTCATGTCGTTGAGGATTTGTCGGACCATTCTTTGGGTGCATTAAAAAGAAGATGTTCGTTCAGATTTTTTTTATCTATATCGATAGACGGCTCTTTCAAGTCCGATTTTTTTTTGGAAATGGATTAATTTCGTGTTATCTACGTCGTTGAGGATTTTTTTGACCATTCTTTGGGTGCGTTAAGAAGACAATTTTCGTTTAAATTTGTCTATCTATATCGATAGACGACTCAAAATAGGCTCTTTCATGTCCTACTTTTTTTTTTAATTGGATTAATTTTCTGTTAATTATGTCGTTGAGGATTTGTTTGACCATTCTTTGGGTGCATAAGGAAGAAGATCTTTGTTTAGATTTGTCTATTTACATTGATAGACGACTTAAAATAGGCTCTTTCATGTCCTAATTTTTTTTGAATTGGATTAATTCTCTGATACTTATGTCGTTGAGGATTTGTTGGACCATTCTTTGGGTGCAGTAAGAAGAAGATGCTCGTTTAGATTTGTCTATCTATATCGATGGAAGACTCAAAATAGGCTCTTTCAAGTCCGATTTTTATTTGGAAATGGATTAATTTTGTGTTGCCTACGTCGCACAATGGACAGAGTTAAAAGGAGAAGTCAAACCAAATCTGGAAACTTGGAAAGCCTATATTTTCGAAAGTATGAAACAAAAAAGTTTAGGAAATGGTTCCGTGGTTTTTTTCGTGAAATTCCCTTTCGAAACATCCCTTCAAATTGAATTTGTGACGAAATAAATTTTAACTGATAATTTCATTTTCAATCTTTTCGAATAACTCGTTCCACTGTGTGTCGTTGGGGATTTGTTTTGATCATTCTATAGGTGCATTAAGAAACAATCTTAGTTTCAATGTGTCAGTCGATATACATAGACATATAGAAATATAATCGCTAGGCTGACAGTCGAGAGACAAAGTGACAAAAAATGTTGCTTTTTAGGTAATCAAAGACGAAAGGTATAAGTAAAAAAAAAGCCGTGTTGAAAGTTTTGAAAAAAGACATATCGACGACTGGCTTCTAGAAAAACGTAAGTAACTAAAGGCGTTCAAAAAACTCCATTCATGTTTAGCTTTTATGAAAGAAATGCAACGAATTTTATGGACTAGATTTCTGAGGAGCAATCGTGAGAGGATGATAAAAATACTAAAAGGAAAATTCGAGAGAGAGTAACATGTTTTTCCTTAAAAAAAGAAAGAAATACAAGTGAAAATCTGCAACGCTACATTTTGAGAGACGTGTTTCTTAGAGTATAGCCAAGAATATGTTCAATAGTTTACGATTATTACGACACTAATTTAAGGTCTCCGGGAACACATTCGGTAGCCGAAACACTTAAAATATTGAATCGCCTTCAAAAGACGGGTTCTGCAATTTGCATCGCCTGGGAGTTAATTAAGTTACCTCACAACGCCTTATGAAAATGACCGTTTCTGGGATATTTCAAGTGAAAAGATCAACAGAAAGACGATAAGTTTGAAAATTTCATGGCGTCATCAATACTGTGCAAATTTAGATGGCGCTATTGTGCCACTTACGAGCAGTTTTTACCATCAATTTTTATTTACCTAATATTATTCGTTGGAACGAACACGATTTAACAGAAGCTTTCACGATTTGGACGAAACTTGGTGGGACTAACTACCTTTTTTCCAGGCAATTTTTGCATTTTGTTTAGATCTTCTCAGAGGCTAAACCTTGAAGTTTTGCCAGATATTTAGGGAACATTTATTTTGGCAATTTTTGCTAATCAGAACTGCCAACAATCAACACTCCAAAATACATCTTAAAGAAAAAAACAACCAGTTGGTTTAAAAAGGTAAGGACGACAAAATTCCGGTCTTTGGGTCAGACAGATGTGTCTTTGTTTAACTGTAAAATAATAAAACTTCATACATTTTTACCATTGTACCTATAACCTGTTTAATTTGTTCATTATAGTCTAATACTTACACTCATTTTCTTCTAGAGAATTTTTGGAACCTATTTTAGAACTTTTCATGATTTGAATTCAAATTCAAACCAAAGATTCAGAAAAGTCAAGCCTGGGTTTTAGTGACTGGTTGGTGGGGAAAAATATCTAAAGGCGATGAGTGCGGAGGGTTGGGGTGATAAAATCAAAGAGAGAGAGAGCAATAAGGAAAGACACCGTAGATGAGGCCAACAAAACCCGCCCAGGGCTGTGGTGCCGTTTGTAATGTAATGTAAATTCAGATCAACTGAAGAGAAAACTTCTATTAAAGATACCGATTATATTGATTATATTCTGTCAAAATGGCCTATGATAAGTGTAGTAACTTACCTCCTCGAACTTCACACCGCAGATACAAATCTTTGCCCACGGTTAACGGGCCGACAACACTTGACAGTTCTCGGCCTGAGATATCGTACATTTTTAATTGGTCTGGAGGCACTGAAACAAAAGAAAAACCAAATTTGAGACAAACATAAAAACCAAACATAACAAGAACGAAAAACGATTTTGTTGGTCAAACTGTTTAAAATACAAGAGACCATCATGAGTACTTGTAAATCAGCGACATAGGATATTTATACAAATTTTGCAAACCCATCACTGGAAAAAAACACACATTGGATCTAGAGTCCAGACTCTTAAAAACATCGACAAGAAAAAATACTATTGATTCAATCAGATTTAAGCTTAAATCTAGGACCAAGCCTCTTAATTTGAGCGGATTTCCTTTTGATTTAAGCTTAAATCTGATTGAATCAAGAGTATTTTTTCTTGTCAATGTTTTCAAGAGTCTGGGCTCTAGATACAACGTGTTTTTTTTTCCCCCCAATGATCCGTATAAAGACTCATGCGCATAGGAAAACTAATAGTACAAACGTCGTTTCCAAACTGAGCCAGATCTTCTACTGCTCCAGGAGATCTTCGAGTGCAAAAATGGCTCTTGGCAGGTAGAAAGCTCCTCGTTTTCCTTCGCAATTCCCAATATGGATGACTTTGTCTTTTTCAATAACGTAAGAACGTTACTGTGATCGTATGTGATGGTAATTTGACTTTGGATACTTCTAACGAAAATTTTACTTAGGTACTTTTCTTCAAATTACACGTAAACATCAATTTTTTAAACAACTTTTACAATCATACTTAGGTCAAAAGTTGAATTATTAGAGTCAATATTGCAGTCTAGGAATAAATGTACGTTCCTACGAGAGAGAAACGATGCTTTCATCACATTCGTTGTGAAAAAAACGATATATTTGAACGAAGGCAAGTTCAGAGATATTATGCTGTGCTAAGAGAAAAAAACGCCGTATTAACATTCGAATGTAGCAACGATGTAACAGAGAACCATTCCGCTTTTAGCAAGTTTGTAAATATTTTCTCTCGAAAATACAAATATATATTAGAATGAAAATAGGAGTAAAATGCTAAAAACAAAATTCGAAATTATAAACCTCTTAATTTACGAGTGGATTTGTGGTTAATCGAAACAAAGGCGACGTCAGAATGGCAATTCGATGTTCTTCCTAATCACTGCAGTTTTGGCATAGAGATAATTGCGTCATTATCCTCTGGTGTAAGAGGAGGTGGTGTATCCTCTGGTCTCAATCTTCACGTGGACCCTGGAAAGCATGGAGTTTTATGGACAATAAGACTTACTCCAGAGCAGAGTTAGGGCCTTAGCTCATAGGAAGGATGATCAGTCTTTATCCGAGTACAACTTTACTGAGACCTCTCTAAGACGGATCGAACCATATAAGGCCCGTGTTTATTAGAAAAGGAACCAACCCACATTCTCGAAAAAAATGAGTTAAGAATGTTTTTGAGTTCCAGCAATTCTGCCGTGCTATGGAAAAACGCCGGATGAACCCTCAACAGGCGTTGCCAAATTTCCTCTAACAAATCACTAATTTTCAGGAAAATGTTTAAATATTTTCCTGCCAATTTCTGAGATACTTTTGCTTGCAATTGGATCTAAATAGTCTGAAAATTTTAAGAAAAAATATTCACAATTTTCCTCAAAAATAAACATTTTATCGTAGGAAATTTCGCAACTCTCGAATGCTCATACGGCGTTCTTCCTTAGCACGGCAGAATTGTACAGTATATTATCTCCTGCCAAACCCTGAGAGTCGAAAAACAGAAATCAGTATGTGAAAAGAGGGATTAAAGTTGATTTTCTACATTGAGCCTCATGAAGGACTAAAACTCCAAACCTCTTTTTCTCAGCTTCAACTTAATGCGAGTTGGCTCCTTTCTGATGAACTCGGTCCAATTTCGCTTGTAAGTGGTCTTCAATTCAGACCTTACACTATCGGGACGCAGCCAACGGCTCCTTTAAAAATTCGCAGTTTCAGGTCTGAATAATAGATACGACGCTTTGAAAAAAAGTCCGCCTCATCTTTCCACGTCCTAAAATACTATAGCTCAACTCTAAATTGATTCAAACTCGCAGACTCCCCTCGAGGTTTCCCCCGGTTTTTTACGAAACTTTCGAGAGCTCTTTGTCACTGATCACACAATTATTTATAAATGAGTCCTTTACATCATCACTCGAAAGTTGACAAACTTAAGAGATTGTCTAGCTCGGAGTGAATAAATTATGAGCGGGACCGGCTTCGATTTAAGAGGCGGACAGCCACTCGCCGCCCGGGCCGCTCGCGCAGCTAAAAATTCAATGTTAAACTCCGGGAGGAAACTTGAGAGCACAATCGTAATTCCCTAACTCACTTTTCCCGCCGGCAGCGTCGCCGACTACAAAAAAGGAGCTCCTATTGCCGAATCGTACGTAATTATCCACTATTTTACTCAGGGTGTATGCAAATTTCGGGGGAGAAAGGCAACGCTGCAAGGCGGCGCTCTTAATGTACCTGTGTGAATTTCAACGTTTCGACGGGGAGCCCGGGGGCCGGCGGGGGGGGGGTTTCCGAGACCGGGGCTGCAAATTCTTCATTAGATCCTTTTACTGCAGTGCTCTAGCGCCCCGTACAACTTTGAACTATCCGGTAACTTTTTGTTGCAGTGGAGCGCGAACCCGGGAAGGAACTTGATTAAGGGACTGATTCTTAACTTTCCTCATCGCGAGGAGATCCAAGTGGAAGACTTTCAAGAATTGGTCAAGGAGATTGTGATTTCCCCCGTTGCCAGCCTAGGGCTCGCGACCGGGGCTAGGATGTCTTCGAGCAGGGACACCGCGAGGGTTGTCCGGAGTCGAATTTTATCTCGAAGCTAGGAGCCTTCTTGAGGGTTCTGTACCGTTCCGTCTCGTTTTTCATAAATTCAAATTTAGTTTTACTGAAGGAATATGGTAGATTTTACCATACTCTGACTACGGTAATAAACACCAGACTCTATGGTAGCATTTAACATATTAAGCAATGTTTCACCAAAGTTCTGCACTGAAAAAAAAATGAAGTTGCTTCAACATTCTGGATGTAAAAAAAGTGTACGAGAACTTACAAAATGCTGAATTAACTGCTACAGCAGTTACTTTAGCAATGCCAAGATGTAAAACTAACTGCCGTAGCGGGTAATTCAGCATTTACCAGTTCTCGCACACTTTTTTTACATCCAGAATGTTAAATCAACTTCACTTTTTTCTCGGTGTGGTGAAAATAAGTCTGGTTATTTTCAGTAAGTAGAATCATTGTGTAAAAAATCAAGTAGACATATAGTAGATATAAGGGGCAAAAACACTAAAAAGTAGTCCGAACTGTAAGTAACAAGGTGGATAAATGGCGCAGGGTTCACACCATTTTGCGAGGAAAATGAAGATTAACGGAATTAACTTTATCAAAGTAGATAAAATAAGAAATCTAATCCATTCAAGTCTGCCACAAATTAAAATCAATCAAAAATGAAAAGGAAATATACCCATCTTAACTATTAGTCCCCGAGTCAAAATAAAACTACACATATAACCTAAGTTAAATATATAAAATAAGGATCCCAAATTTAATTTTTAATTTTTAATTTAATTTTTTTATTTAATCCCAAATTTTTTCGGCTCTACTTGAAATTCTTGGAACTTCTTGGCTTTGCTTTCCCCGCGAAATGGTAAGGACCCAGCACCAAATAGTCCTGATTGGAGTTACGACGTTTTCCCTGTGCACGGCAGTACAGAAGCATTGCAAAAAATGACGCTCAACTACACAAATCAGAAATCCGATTAATAAGATATTCCTGATTGGAGTTACGACGTTTCTCCTGTGCACGGCAGTACAGAAGCATTGCAAAAAATGACGCTCAACTACACAAATCAGAAATCTGGTTAAGGAGATATTCCTGATTGGAGTTACGACGTTTTTCCTGTGCACGGCAGAACAGAAACATTGTAAAACATGACGCTCAACTACACAAATCAGAAATCTGGCTGAGGAGATAGTCCTGATTGGAGTTACGACGTTTTTCCTGTGCACGGCAGTGTAGAAGCATTGCAAAAAATGACGCTCAACTACACAAATCAGAAATTTGATTAAGGAGATATTCCTGATTGGAGTTACGACGTTTTTCCCGAGCACGGCAGTGTGGAAGCATTTCAAAAATGACGCTCAACTACACAAATCAGAAATCTGGTTAAGGAGATGACGGCGAGCACGCGGGAAACAAATCTCCTTTCAACAAGCACACTTGTTTGTGGATGGGAAATCTCTCCTCTCCGACAAGTACACTTGTTCGGGAAAAAGTTTCCCGGGAGTGTTTAAAAATTGAAGTAAATACGCAAATGCAATGAGAGAGCCACGCGCGCTTTGCGGGTTGCGGGGGCGGCGCACGAAGGCGCGCGTGGAGCCTCCCTCGGAAGTGGCGGAGCCTTAAGTTCGCCTCGTAAATAAAACGAAGCCTTTGTTCCGAAAACTTTCGGCGGTAGCGCGCTCTTGGAAGTCGGGTAACGCGGTAGCTATTGTCCCCTCAAGATCTTCTATAATTATTATTTTAAAGCGAAAGGTTCTCGCCTCTGTGGGGTTCGGCGAGCAGCGCGCTCCGTACACAACGGGGTTAAAAAGGTGCTCATTATGAGCCGGGAATCTTGAAGACAATCCGGAGAGCGGTTGACAAAGGGGCGTAACTGCACGTTGACATGAGCCCGGGGAAGCATTAACTTGAATGGACGACAGAGCTCATTGCCAAATGCAGTTACGCCTTTATGTCAATCCGTGCGCCCCTCCCTGGGCCCTGAATAATGTAATATGTGAAACATAATGGGAGCCCCTCCACCTAGCTACCACTTTACACCAGTCGTAAGGAAAAACGACGTATAGAATTACCAACGCTGCAAATTTTCCTCTAGTAAGTTGTGACGTTTCAATAAATCTTGAGACAATTGTTCTTTAAATTTTTTATCACATTTTGTTCGCATTTCAATCAGGCGTGTGCGATAGTTTTGACGAAAAACGCCCATAACATTCTTTAAAAATGAATATTTGATATCGGAAAATCTGGCG